TCTTTTTGAGACTGGTCCGTCCATTCCCAGAAGTAGTTAGGAGCAAGTATTGCTGTATCTTTCTCACAAAAAAAACCGTATGGTGGACATGCTGAGCACGGGCCGAAACGATCCAGCCGATAGAAGTTGTGTAGGCATCTGCATGCACGATATTCAGCAGTCTCGTTGGAGATCGTACCTGGGAAGGAATGTTTCTTCTCTCAGCAATTATAATAAAGCATTCATAAAAAGGCTTTTCCTTGAATTCACTTCCTCTCTTCTCTGAATCAACCAAAGAATAAGATTTCACCAGCGAAATAAATGGATATACTTTAAAATAAGATATCTTTGGACTTCGCCGAAAATAAGTAACAACAACAACAACAACTACAATTTGGCGAGTTATCTCAGCTTATCTTTTTATTCTATAAATAGGGTTTCTGATAGTCCACTACAGTCGATTGTGTTCTGTGACTGCAATATGTTAAAGAAATCGCTGTGACAGTCCTTTCATTAAAACGTAGTGTCACCTAGAGCGTATTTTAATGAAAAAAAGGTGCAGTTTGCCCAAAGCGAACACTGCACTTACCATACGGACATGCCACGCAGTCGGTAGCTTTGGTTCCAGGACTTCGCCGTTCAGAAACAAATGTACCATTACTGCATCTTTTACATTCAATTTGTCCCATTTCATCCTGATAAAAGCCACCTGTCAAGAAATCATAAAACAATAATTCAGCTACACGGGTGAGTTGTAAGAGATTCCAAGGTTAAATACAATTACAGAGTGGAAACATTTTTATAAATGTGAGTGTTTTTGCAATGTTTCAAGTTATTCTTTGTTTTTTGCTTTTGGTTATGATATTGAGAAAGTTGAGAAGGATAGATTTCCTTCCAGTGGCCGAGTAAAGTGGTTATAAAACTCTCCTTTTAAACTTCAAATCGTTTAACGAGGTGGCGCCTGTTTACTTACAGGAACTTTAAGAACCTTGTGATTCTTTTGTAAATGTTACTTGTAGCACCAAGATAAAATCCTCAGTTGCATGGTCAAGGAGCTTTATTCATATAATGCACCAGTATTGTTGAATTCTCTTCCAGAGGTTATGAGGAAGTGCAAGTCGTTGACCTCCTTTTAATTCAAGCCTAAGGCTTTTCTTTTTAAACGAATTTTTTTAGTTGACATTATACAGTTTCATTTACTGATGGGGCTTATACCTTTCTCTGAAATATGTTTTAGTTTATATTCCATTCTTCATAAAAAAAAAAGCGCTGTTGGATTCTTCTTTGAAGCGGCGTTATCTAAATCTTTTACGTTAACATTTAAATCATTATTTACAGTGAAATAGGTGATCATTCTCACTACCTGCAAAACACTCCAGACAGTGGTTTTCATCATTATAAATGTAAGTTCCAGCTGGACAGAGACTGCAGTTTTTACACCCAATATGAATAATTTGTCTCTTAGAGGTTACACAGTCGTGGCACGCAAAACCTGAGCGTATAAAGCCAGATCTGAAGCCATATTGGTCGTTGTCCAAAATGACGTGCAGAGATGTCGAGGGAGCACACTCACTGAGAATAAGACAATGATAATTTATCAAAAGCTCGCTTGGAAAAAGCATTGTAAGTTTTCCCGTGAGAAGAGAGACCTGGAAATGAGATGACAACTAACCCGTAAGCGCGTATTGGATTTGAGGTATGTTTAAACCAAGTGAAACGCAAAACCGAATTGGCTCTAACTTTGAGATCATGTTTAATAAGTGAAAAAAGTTAAAAACGCTCTATTAAATGTTTGCTTTAAAAAATTCGCACAGTTACCATGTTTTTGATGCATGAGGCGAGTTTTCATGACAACGTCGTCTTGCAGAGGCGCATGAACGCTAGCTGTTTTCAAGACTTGTAGTGTTTCATGGCTAGACCGAGAAAGGCTTTATTTTATATCAAGGCTGACTTTTAATTCCTACACATATTGAATTTCCTAAGTCAAAGAAGCCACTCAATTGA